CTACCACAGAGGGCCTCTGAAAGAGTACGCATCAGGGTATCAAAGCAGATGCTGAGACTCACACAGCCTGAATGGCACTTCTACCATAGAGTTGTGTGCTAAGGTCTGGGAGTCCTATTACAATGCATCATAGCTAGTTTTCATCAACTTGACAACAAGCCTAGACACATGTGAGAAAACGGAATCTCAACTGATGAACTGCTTCCATTGGATTGGCGTATGAGCATGTCTGTGTGGGCATTTTCTTGATTACTAATGGATGTGAGAAGCCCAGCCTGCTTTGGCTGAGCTAGTCGGCAGGAGTGAGCAGCAGGCTGCTTCTGCTCTTGTTTAGGTCCCGTCTCTGGGCTCCTGCTCTGGCTTCCCTTAGTGACAGACTGTTGCTTGGAAGTATAAATTGCTTTTGGTTGGTGTTTTATCACAGCTAGCCAAGTTACCTAGAACAGATGGCTACTTAGACTTTTTTCTTCTGATAATGGACCTTGGGCTACTTTGAGAAGCCATCCCTATGTTTTCTAGAGTTGTGTGTATATCGAGGTTTCCTATGAGTAGGTAATGCAGTATAGATAATGGGGCAACGGTCCCTTACTCTGCGTGAAGCACTGCTCTTTGCTTATTTGTTTAGTGACTGGCTCTCCCCTATCCTTCTTGTTATCTCCTTCCTCTACAGTGTTAAATTTCTGACTTTGTTCCTCTCAAGGCACACCTTAGGATGAAATCAGCATTGGTAAAGCTGCCTTCGTCTCTTTCCCTGACCATGCCCACTGCTGAACAATTGCTGGCCCATTTGTCTGCTGTTTCCAGCAGTGTTCTGGAACATAAATCCCATATCCTAATCCAGTCAAGCTGCGACCTTTTGGAAACGATATTTACTGTAGTCAGTACTTGATGTTTGACCTAAACCCAAGTGGCATCATCCCATCCATCTTATTTCTCAGTTTTGTTCTTCAGAACTGGCTAGGCAGTTTAGCCTTCTTCTTAATTAGATTCATCAATCTCCTAATCTTTTCCCCTTATCTCCTCCTCCCTTGTCCACTCTTCTAGTTTCCTTTCCCTTTAGTACTGCAGACTGAACCCAGGCCTTCATTCCTCATTGTTTTTCACACACTCACCGCTGTTCATTTATTTTTTCTTCTCTTCAGCATTTATATTTTTTATGTGTACATGTGTGTCTGTGGAGACTAGAAGAGGGCATCCGATCCCCTGTAGCTGGAGTCCTTTGATGTGGGTGCTGGCAGCTGAACTGGGATCTTCTGGAAAAGCAGCAATCCATCCTAACCACTGAGCCATCCCTACTCCAGCCCTGCTCTATTGCTTTCACAAGTACTAGGTTAAACTTCTTAAAGCTTTTCAAATGAAATTAGGATCCTTGGAATTGGTTGGGAGCCGTTTGTCATACTGCCTGCTTTGACAGCTGAGGACGGCAACACGCTTCCTTCCCTGGAGAAGCTGTATGGGGTGGCAGGAGCAGGCAGGAGATAGCCCGAGGTCCTTGCTTTCCTTCGGGCCCCAATATTATTGGGGACTATGTTCAATGGACCAGGACCTAGTTTTATACTTAGGGGTTGAGGAGAAGGAAGCTCCACTTCCTGATCACACTTGCATAGATTAGACTCAGCAACAGAGAGCCAGAGCAAGATGAGAAAAACTTATTCCTCCTGGGAAGACAAGATGTCGTTGGAAGCTTGGGGAAGAGGGAGCCCTGTACGTTTTCTTGGCTCTGACTGTGGGCTGGCGACACTAAGGTGGGCATATGGGAGTGCTCTTTGCTCTCAGTGACGTCTTGTACATTTTGGAGGTAGATTCTCTTCATTTGCTGCTTGCATGTAAAGCCATGTTTTTAGAGCTTCCCATGCTGCTTGCTTTGAGAAGGCTTTTCACTAGTGTTGCTGGGTCAGTTGTGTTAGAAATGAGAGGAGCAGGTTCGGGGAGGAAACTGACTTGAAATCGCCCACTCAAAAATGAGCTTTATTAGGAAAGTACCCCGTGTCCATGGGAGGCGTGACCAGGCTTTGAGCAGAAAACATTACAGACCTTATGAAAACAGTATAAAATATGGCTTTAAGTAGAGGAGTAAAGGAGAGCGTCACCATGGATATCGTGGGGCAGGATGGGAGGCAGGCTTTCAGGAACAGTTCCTGAGCAAAGGAGACATTTTGGCTTTATTGTTCTTGGTAGAATTGTGGGAAGTTTTACACTATGCACTTTATTTCAACAAAGCCTACCTGTCAGGCAGCCACTGATCTCTCTTGCAGCTTTGCAGTGGGGAGGGGTCTGTGAAGCCACAGCTCAGAATCCCTTCCTCCTCCTCCTCCCTTTCTCCTTCCTCTTCTTCTTCTGAAATTTTAAAGATTTTTTTTTTTTTTTTATTGAATCAAAGTACAGCATTAAAAAACCATGTTTCTCAAGAAAGAGGACCCAGGGTAAGATGAACAATCCTTACTTAGAAAGACAAATGGGATAGACATTGGAAGTAGGAGAAAACAAGAAACTGGACAGGAGCCTACCACAGACCGCCTCTGAAAGACTCTACCTAGCAGTGTATCAAAGCAGATGCTGAGACTCATAATCAAACCTTCGGCAGAGTGCAAGGAATCATATGAAAGAAGGGGGAGTTAGTAAGACCCGGAGAGGACAGGCGCTCCACAAGGACCAAATATATCTTGGCACATGGGTCTTTTCTGAGACTGATAATCCAACCAAGGACCATGTTTGGATATAACCTAGAACCGCAGCTTGGACGTAACCCATGGCAACTCAGTGTCCAAGTGGATTCCCTAGTAGGGGGAACAGGGACTGTCTCTGACCTGAACTCAGCGTTTGATTCTCTCCCCAACCCCCAAAGTAGGAGCAGCCTTGCTAGGCCACAGAGGAGGACATTGCAGCCAGTCCTGATGAGACCTGGTAAACTAGGGTCAGATGGAAGGAGAGGTGGACCTCTCCTATCAGTGGAGAGGGGCAGGGAGGAGATGAGGAAGGGAGGATGGGATTGGGAGGTGATGAGGGAGAGGGCTGCAGCCATGAGACAAAGTAAACAAACTGTAATTAAGATAATATAAAAAATAAAAATTAATAAAAACCCATGTCTATTTTTTCTCAACATATTATACCTATTGATTATTTAGGAATTTCATACAATGTACCATAATATACTTATTTTTGGTTTCTCCCAGCTCCATGCTCCCACTCTTGTACCCTCCCGAAAAAAAAAAGAAAGAAAGAAAGAAAGGAAGAAAGGAGGAAAGAAAGAAAATAATATATCAAGTTCAAGTTGGGTTTTCCATATACTCATGGGAACGTGGTCAACCCCCCAGTGGCTAGCCTCTTAAAGATAACCGAGCCTAATATCCACTTATAAGTGAGTATATACCATATGTGTCTTTCTGCTTCTGGGATACCTCACTCACTGAGTTGTTGTGGTGCATTGTGTAAATGTACCACAATTTCTGCATCCATTCCTCAGTTCAGGGGTATCTGGGTTGTTTCCAGGTTCTGGCTATTAGACATATAATATAGGACAAACATACTAAAATCTGTTTACCTTAAGAAACTAAGCAAGAAGAAAGACCCTGGATAGGATGATTAATTTTCACCCAGAAAGGTAAATGGAATGGACATCAGAAGAGGGAGAAAACAGGAAACAGGACAGGAGCCTACCACAAAGGGCCTCTGAAAGGCTCTATCCTGCAGGGTATCAAAGCAGAGGCTGAGACTCATAGCCAAGCTTTGGGCAGAGTGCAGGGAATCTTATGAAAAAAGGGCGAGATAGAAAGACCTGGAGGGAACAGGAGCTCCACAAGGAGAACAACAGAACCAAGAAATCTGGGCACAGGGGTCTATTCTGAGACTGATACTCCAGAAAGGACCATGCATGGAGATAACCCAGAACCCCTGCACAGAAGTAACCCATGGCAGCTTAGTTTTCATGTGGGTTTCCTAGTAAGGGGAACAGGGACTGCTCTGACAAAAACTCAGTGGCTGGCTCTTTGATCACTTCCCCCTGTAGGGGGAGCAGCCTTGCCAGGCCACAGAGGAAGACAGTGCAGCCAGTCCTGATGAGACCTGATAGGCTAGGATCAGATGGAAGGGGAGGAGAACCTCCTCTATCAGTGGACTTGGGGAGGGGCATGGGAGGAGATGAGGGAGGGAGGGTAGGATTGGAAGGGAATAACGGACGGGCCTACAGCTGGGATACAAAGTGAATAAACTGTAATTAATATAAAAAATTAAAATTAAAATTAAAAAGAGAGAGAGAAAAAAAAGATAATCGAGTTTTCCCTCATGTCCTCTGCCAGAAGCCATCAGCTGTGAAGGGATACACTTCAGAATCTTTATCACAGTTTTTAAAGACTCTCTTCAATGGCTTCCTGTCTGCACTGTCTCTGTTTTTGGAGGGGGGGGCTGCCACAGAAGACTTCACTGCTGCGCATTCTTAATTAGAGAATGTACCCGTACATGGCAGCACTATAAACGAAGCTTCCTTGCCCACGACAGCCTGCAACACCACAGATTATGGACTTCCACACAGTTTCCAGTGGCTGTAGGGACCATGAACACCATCCTGCCCCTCCCCCCAACCCCAGTAACTTCAGGACAGACCATGGGGGGAGGAGGGTCTTCGCAGGCTTAATCCACAAAATGAAGCCCTCTTCATCTCGCATATCTTGTTGCTCAGAGCCAGGGTGGCCCTGTGGCTGGGCAGCAGGTTAAGGGAGCAGAGCCAACGCAAGCTCCAGGATGCTGCGCTGCACCCTGCCCGCCCTACCTGGCAACAGCGAGCCATCACAGCTACCACCTCCAAGCTCCCACACCCGTCGCTGTTGCCACCACCGCTGCCACAGCTCTAGTTCCGCTTCTCTTCATTCTGCCATCTTTCCCGTCTCTTCATCCCACATTTATTCATCACAGTGGCATTGCAAACTGCTATGTCACAGTATGTTTTTGCCCAAACAGCTTTACATGCAAATACTTATTGCAATGAGTCATTGATCTGGTTCCAGGTTTCTGGTTTCTGAAGCGCTGTAAACGCTGCACTATCGATGAAGATTTTCCTGTCATTGCCCAGAGTCAGGCTGAGTCTGAGGACAGGACCCAAGCAAGCTCCAGCCACTGCACATCTCCATGCCTGCCACCGCCAGGTATGACCATCATGCTTGCAGCCTGTTGGCAGTGCCATGGCTCCACATTCTCCACACAGCAGGATTATGTCTTAATTCTGCAGAGAGAGAGAGAGAGAGAGGAAGAGAGGGAAAGAGAGAGAAAGTGAGAGAGAAGAGGGAAGGAGGGGAGAGAGAGGAGAGGGAGCGGGGAAGGGAGAAAGGGGGAGGGAGAGGGGAAGGGAGACAGAGAGACAGACACAGAGAGAGAGACAAAGAGAGGGAGAAGAAGGGGAAGGAGGAAGGGAGGGAGGGAGGGAGGGAGGGAGGGAGAGAGAGAGAGAGAGAGAGAGAAAACGAGATGTAGGGAGGCATGGCCTGATTTTTCCAGGATGTCTGGAAAAATATGGTCTGGTCTCTTAGAGTGACCAGTATATTCACCTCCAACAAGTGGACCAAGGACCACTATCTTAAAGTGGCAATCCCACAATCTGACAAGTAGGCCAATAGAGCTCCCCATGGTGTTGTGCTGGCTAGATTTTTGACATAAATAGCATCACCTGGGAAGAGAAAACAGCAATTGAAAATTCCTCCATCAGACTGGCCTGTAAGCAAGTCTGTAGGAGCCATTTTTTTGATTAGTGATTGATGTCAGGTGACCCAGCCCACAGTGGATATCACTGTATCTGGGCAGGCTACCTGGGATATATACAAAAGAAAAGCTGAGGGAGCCATGAGAAGCAAGCTAGAAAGCAGAATTCCTCTGTGGTCTCTGCTTCAGTTCCTGCCTCTAGGTTCCTGCCATGCTTGAGTTCCTGCGTTGGCTCTCCGCAGTGATGGACTGTGTTTTCTAAGCATAATCCAAATCAACCCTTTCCTTCCCAAGCTGCTTTTTTTATTTGTTTGTTTTTTTGTTTTTTGTTTTCCACATCAATAGAAAGTGAACTGGGACAGCTGTCAAGATGCTATTCATAGATGTGCTTGACAACTATGTACTACCCTGGTATTATGAAGATTTCTATTACATATGCCAGTAAGGTAATTTGTAAGAATTCAGGACCTTTCAGCTATGTTTTTTTTTTTTTTGAATTTTATTTTTTTCTTATCAGTTACGTTTTTTAAAATTTTTTATTAATTACACTTTATTCATTTTGTATCCCCCCATAAGCCCCTCCCTCCCCCCTCCCGATCCCACCCTCCCTCCCCTTTCTGCATGCATGCCACTCCCCAAGTCCACTGATAGGGGAGGTTCTCCTCTCCTATCTGATCTTAGTCTATCAGTTCTCATCAAAATTGGCTGCATTGTCCTCTACTGTGGCCTGGTAAGGCTGCTCCCCCCTCAGGGGGAGGTGATCAAAGAGCAGGCCAATCAGATTATGTCAGAGGCAGTCCCTCTTCCCATTACTATGTAACCCACTTGGACACTGAACTGCCATGGGCTACATCTGTGCAGGAGTTCTAGGTTATCTCCACGAATGGTCCTTGGTTGGAGTATGAGTCTCTGGGAAGTTCCCTGTGTTCAAATTATCTTGTTCTGTTGCTCTGCTTGTGGAGTTCCCGTCCCCTCCATCAGCTATGTATTTAATCAGATTTGTTTTTGTTTTGTTTTACTTGAGTCTTCCCAGATGATATGGAATCAAAGATGCTCTGGAGTCTCAGTTCACAGTTTAGATTTTCTAAATCCTGCAGAATGCAATTTCTGGTAATCTCTTTGTTTCTCTTTTACAAAACAAAACAAAACAACCATTTTAAAGCATTTATTTTAAGGTTCAAGATTAGGGTGTCTTTGGCTAGCTTTGTAAGTAGACAGACCTGCGTTTGGACAAGCCAAGCATGTGCCCCATGTGTGGGGTTCCACCGCCCCTCTGTGACAATACTACCCAACCGCAGGATTGACTGGTGATAATAATACAAGAGAGCAAGTGACAGCTTCAAAACCTGGCTGCTAAGATGTGTGCATTGGCATATGTTAGCTGTGGTTGTTTGAGGTGAATTATTCAGGGATCTATCTAGCAATCTGTTACAGCCAGGACTCCTTCGGTCCCACTAAACAGTGACATACAAACAAAAAATGCAGAAGCCTTTGAAAACTTTATTATATGTTCAATGCAGAATTTACTCAAATATTTTAAAGAAGTTGTGTTTAGTGCCCTCCAAATAAATCCATCCACTGTATTCATAGGAAGCAAAATGACCTCAGGTAAGGAGTTATGACAGGAAAAGCTCTGCAATAGATATCAGTGGAACAATTCTGGCAGTACCCAGGGAATCTTTAGATTGTATTTTATTTGTGCTGATCACTCAGGTATGATTCTTTTTCCTACACTTTTTACTAGAATAAGATAATCAAATATCAAAGATTCCCCCCCCCCACTTAGCTCTAATATGCAAATGTATGTTATCTTTAAGTACCTCAATCCCTCTCTTTGCATGACTGACAGAACTGAGACTCCCCTCACACTAAGCTACTATATACAAATGCATCTTTCTATCACTTATCCCCCCCCCCCCCACCTCCTTTGCATGATTGACAGTACCAGGAGTTCATGGAGTCTTTCAAAAGCCTCATGTTTTATTTTATTTTGGTTTAGAGGCTGACTCTCATGTAGCCCAGGCTAGCCTTGGATTTGCTGTGTAGCAGAGGATCGCTTTGAACTCCTGATTCCCCTGCTTCTTCTTCCCAAACGCTGGCGTATAGGCACGTGCTGAAAGTCCGCAGGATAAAGCATTCTTCTGATTTTGAGTTGAAAGCGCATCTTCTGCTGGGCAGGAACTGTTTCTCCAACACTCCTGCTTTGCTATTGGGAAACATATACTTTCCTTAGAGACATTTTCAAATAGCTCAGGCTCGTGCCCTACCGGCTGAATGTACAGTATGCTGGCTACGTCAGGCATCATTAAGACCAACTTTTTCAGGAACTGGTAGGATTTTTAAAAAGGAAAAGAGGAGATGGGAATGATAGAAATTTTAAAAGCAGGAGAATAGGGAGAGGAAAGAAGAAGAAATAATTCTGAGAATAAAGTTTGGTCACGGGTATATGCAGATGAATCATTTTTCACTGTGAGAAATGTCTGGATATCATGTGTTTGACCCTGCCATTGGATTCTAACAATAAACAGGAAAGAAATGGTTTTTTTCCCCTCTTTTGGAGTTGTGGCTATGATACCTTGCAGAAATATTTCCAAAAAAAATAAAAGAAAAGGTAATAAGCCATTTCTTCCCATTTTGACTACTGTCATGGCATAGGGAAGGGAAGCATTCTATGGGCTTGTTTTAATGACCCTGTTGGTATACACCATAACATCTGGTGGCATTGGTGAGCTCACCTGATGGACCACAAAGGACTCTGATTTATGAAGCCATAATTGGGCTTCCAATAAACATTTGTCAAAGTAATGTATTAGTTCAAGCCAAAGTCCTTCTTTATTTATTCATATAAAAGAGCACTTAACTTTCAACAAAGAATTGCCTATCATCAAAAACACTCTATAAATGAATCAACGTTACGAAGCCGTGTTTCTAGGAGGGCAAGCATTCAAAGACTGCAGCTTATTTTAACTCTTTAGAGGACCTAATGTTTTAATTGATGAGTTTTCACCGTATCCCATTATGCTTTTATTTTGAAATAAATGATATGGGTTTAATGCAATCATTAAGTTATTTGTGACTGAGTGAAACCAATGGCCTTTAAAATACTTACTTATTCAGCTATTGGTTTCAGGCACCAGTCTGTAGGTATTTCAAATTCTTTCAGGGCAAGAGATGTTTACCTATATTTCTGTTTACTTCTAAGACAAACAGAACATACCCTGGCTTACAGCTAGTTTGTAGGATGGTAAAGCCCCAGAAAGGATAATTATTGATATTTATGTTAAACATCTTGCTACTTTAAATGTTTGCTTAATAGCTGACCAGTCTTTGTTTTTCATGTAGCAAATGAGATACACCACATATTCAGCTTGTAAACTCTAATGTTGTAGGGCCGGTCCATTCTCTAGGCACAAAGTACTTTATAAGACATTATTTCAATGCTCAGGAGTTACTACCACCTTTTGTTCTGGAAGTAATGTATCATTTACCATTTCAAGTTTAGAATTCAATAGCATTAGTTATACTAACTATCACCATTTTTATTTCGTGGGTGTTTTCAACTGCTGTGAATAAAAACTGTTTGCCCACTAACTAATAACTCCTCATCCCCTCTCTAGCAGACCCTGGCAATTTCTCTATGACTTTTGGTCTTTCTTATTTCATCAGTCTGGAAACCTTGTAGAAGTAGAATCGTATAGAATTGTCTTTTTATTTTTGATTCATTTCACTTTCAAAATTTTTAAGTTTCATTTGCACTGTAGCAGACGGTAGAGTTCTGTCACCTCTTTGGCCGCTTTTCTGCTGTAGGCATGCGCCCCATTTTTGTTTTCAGTTCGAATACCAACACTCGATTGGGTTGCTCCCGTCTGCGGGCCGCTGCGGGCCGCTGTGGATGTTGGTGTGCGGGCCTCAGCACAAGTGCCCACTCTGAGTGCTTTTAGAGTTGGATGGATGGACTATTTGGTAGTTTTATATCCAATATTTTCCTTTGTCTTACTTTTGGAATAATCTCATTATCCCCTAAA